ATTGATACAAAAATATGTAAATGTACTGATCTGAATTATAATATTTCTGACTGTCAAAATTTCCCAGATTTAAATCGAATCGAATTAAATCGAATCGTGGATCAAATCGATTCGGGACCTTGTGAATCGGAATTGAATCGATTCTAGAAATCAGTGACGATACCCAGCCCTAACCATAACCTCAGGGTTATCTGAATTTAGAAGCAGGAAATTAGAGGCCATCCAGGTCTTTATGTCTTTAGGACATTCCTGCAGTTTAACTAATTGGTGTTGGTTATCTGGCTTCATGGTTAAATAAAGTTGGGTGTCATCTGCATATCAGTGAAAATGTGTGGTATGCCCTCTGATGATACCTCCGCTAAGATAGGACTGCCTTTAACAGTCTTGATCAGTGATGAACAGTAAGATATTATAGCTTTACTAGTTATCTGGCTTTAATCTTTTAAATTAGGACTACGCTTCCTCCTCATTGTCATTCAGCCATCCTGTTTTCCTGGCTGCTCGGGACAGTGTTCTGGGACAGACGCTACCTTTTGTTGCACCGGCTACAGGGGCTTGCCTAACCTGCGTTTTTCAAGGGTGTGAAGCTGGGTCTCAAATTCAGTGATATTGGCCTCCAGGACTGCAAACACACTACACTGATTACAAGTATCATTATTGCTACAGGAGACCAAGAAGTAAACTAAACATCTGACACAATGAGCAGGAAAATGCAGGAGGAACAGGTGTAGAGGCCATGGTACTAGCAGGTTTGCTATGAGCTAAGTTAGTGAATCCCTAAATACAGAATGAGTGAATATTTTAAAGTAAATAATTTAAAATGTAAAACTTCTTCGTGTGTTTTGGATAAAGTGTGTGAAGATGACACTGTGAAATAGGATCTTATCTAGTTTTTAATACAACTGGCTATACAAATAAGCTACACAAAAACACCACTGTGTTGTAACAGCAAGTGATACCCTACCGCAGAGAGAGCCAACACCAAGTGGAGCGCCATCCAAAGGAACGTCAGAGTGACTCACTGACAGCTATCGCAAACGCTCGATTGCTGCTAAGGATGGGCCAACCAGTTGTTAGGTTTAGGTTCAGTGCCACGTAGGTCTGCCCCCCCCCAACAATAAACACCTGCATTTTGCATTTACTTGTGCTATTTTTGTCTAATGTTTAATGTTGAAATTTGTTTAATGATGTGAATCATTAAGTGTGAGAAACATAAAAAAGGGGAAATGAAGAAGGGTGCAAACACTTTTTCACACCACTGTAAGATGTTTATTTAGTTTTTTTTATATCTGTCTACAATTTCAAGGATCTCTGGCTGCAGTGGCAAACATGTTGATTTATACTGAAGAGTCTGGTGTGTTTTCAAGGGGCAAATTAAATCATGGTTACTATTTTGCTTAGGCTTACAGTGATTCATGTTTGTTTTCTGATATCCCTTCAGGCAATGGTGCATCTCCAGCTTCACACTGGTGTCTCAGTCTGCTTCTTTTGTACCTGGAGGGACTTCTCGGATCACATCACCATGACAACCAAAGCAGTTGCAGAGGCCCCTTTCAAGTGAGCAACTGTTTTTTTGGGGTTTTTTTTTTCCTCTCTCATCACAGTTCAGCTTAACACCACCTCTGCCAGATCAAACAGTCATTTCCCATGTTTCCCTGTTTTTTCAGGAGAGAGAGGGAAAAGACTGGCTTTTCCTTCTACCTAGAGAGTGAGTGGGCAGGGGGCCAGCGGGTGGATAGAGGTGGTAAGGGCCTGCTGCAGGTGTGGAAGAGACAGATCCAGCAGTTCAACAGAGTGAGCCCAGACATGGCTGCTGCCATCTTGGCAGCTTATCCCTCTCCACAGCTGCTCAAGAAGGTACAAGCTTGATTATAGCAACAGCTTACTGACAAGGCCGTGGTGAAGAATATATAATTCTGCCTTTCTGTTTTACTCCTGCTTCTGTATGTAATTAGAACAGTTCTATCAGATTCTTCTAACATGAAAAAATATTTTCTATTCTTATGGCAACAACGACCCCTGATTCACAGCTTGTAAGGACTTAAAGGATCCACTGCTAACCTCTTATTGCGTTGCTCAGAACACAGTTGCAGAGAATTATTAGGTTTTTCACTGAAGTTCCATATAACGGAGCTCTGCTACAGTCTTTATGGTAAGGCAGGTTCACGTTGGCTGCTTGAAAGTCAAACAATGTAATGTAATATTTGATCATTTTATTTACAGACTCTGAGGTAATTTTCTTTTTAACTTTTCTTTGATGGTTTGAAGTCCTTTACTTCTCTGGATTATCTTCACGTTTGTCATTCATTGAGTTATCTTTATCTAATATTAGAATTTGATCCTAAACATTAAAAATATGTTCAGTAGACAAAAATATAAAATATACAAAAAACATTACATTACAGTAACAATCTTGTATATTTTTGATAAGCTACATACTTGATACTTGACGAGAGTTAGCAACTCCAAGTCTGATGCCAGGCGTTCAAGTTGGGGATGGATTGCTGCCTCAAGTGGAGCAAGTAAAGTGGGAGAAGAGTGGAGTAGGACACTGACAGATGGAGTGATGCAGGTGCTGTACTGGTCTGTTGTGCTGAAGAGACAGCTGAGCGTGAAAGCAAAGCTTTTGATTTCAATTCAATTCAATTTTATTTATATAGCGCCAAATCACAACATAAGTCGCCTCAAGGCGCTTCATAGATACAGAGAAAAACCCAACAATCATATGACCCCCTATGAGCAAGCACTTTGGCGACAGTGGGAAAGAAAAA